TTAAACTCCATACAGCCTGATCCACCTTTACTCTATTCTCACTCTGACTGTGGCTTACCACAACATTTTTAAAAAGTTGAAGAGTGCTAAAAGAATCTTTCTTGTCTAGCATCTGTTCTGGTCTTCTAGAGGCAAGTAGTGATTTTCCCTCAACAACAGACAGAAAGCTCAGTCAGACCCCACTAAAATTATAGTCTGTGCTCTAGACTCCCATTATCAATCCAAATACACAGGATATTATTTCTCCATTATTTCTCACACTTACACCCCTATGACCATTCTCACCTTGCTAATGCAGACTGCCAACAGTTCAAAAACTCTCCAGTAAATCACGAGGAAAGAGTTCAGAGACCAACAGGAGCACTCAGAGATCTATGAAATATAACCTATGAGGAAACTGAAAAGGAATTTTTGTTTTCTTAAATATAGAGAAGACTGAACAGAGACATGATAACAGTCCTTAAAAATGTAAACGACTGCAGCAAAAAGGAAGGAAATAATCTCTTCTCTCCCACATGTCAAGGATAAGAATAACAGGCTAAAATCACAGCAGAGACGTTTTTTTGATTAGATATTAACAAAACCATTCTAGCTGTTAGGATGGTGTTAGTGAAGCACTGGGATAGGCTGCCTTGGAAATCTCCACATCTGGAATGCTTTCAAAGCAGACTGGAGCAATGTCTGTGCTAACAGGACAGGTACTACTGACCCGCTGTGCTCTCGGAGCAGGAGAAGGAATTCACAACTCCTTAAAATCCCTTCTAGCCTTGCTTTCATATAATTGAATGATTCACTGGATAAGTACACGTTCATTTATCATCTTCTGGGAGAATTTTAAAAGTATTACTTGCATCTTTGAGGGCTTTTTGTCTTCAGACTCTTCCTTAAGATATTACTCTTCCAAACACTAGGGTATGCCATGTGTTTCTCCCCTGTAAAAGGTGAAGCTAGTCCTGCTGACCAGGTGCTATAACACTATCATTAATTGAAAGATAATGGGACTAGTGGTCCTAAAGAAATTACAATAAATGGGCATTTGACTACTGAGTCACTTGAGTTCACTTCTGCAGCTGCATGCATTACAGCATTGCTGAGGTTTGCACTTTAAAGACAACCACCACTGAAATGCAGAAAGTAGGGCCTGGGACAAGAATGGTTAGCAGGGTCAGTCCCTGGTTGTCACAGGCAGTCATGGCAGGTAAACCTTTTGGTAAATTCAGCAAACTACATCTCCAGACAAATTCAGTTGGTTGTCCTTGCTACTCTCACTGGCTGGCTTCTCCAGAACATCAGCACTTAGGCAGCCAAAACCTTCCCCTAATGTCTAACCTAGCATTTTTTCTTGGCCAGTTTATTAATTAGGGTGCTGTGCTAATGCTGCATTTCCATCTCCTTAGAGTTTTCCAGTTTAGTGAACATGTAGTTTGCTACACTAACAAACCCTCTTGGTTTTCATTCCGTGAGGCTAGAAATGTTGAGTTTTTTATATCCTCACAGAGAATCGGATGAATGTACACAGAATAGATCAGTAGCACATTTCTTTCCTGATAGAGTGAAGAGGTGGTCCAAAATTACAGGGTGGAGAAATGATTTCTTGAAACCAAAATCAAAACCAAACTGCTTTTGTAACACACAAGGACTGGTAAGGGTTAAGAAGTGAAGCTGCCCTGTTATTTGTTCTGTTGGAAGTGCAATTGTCTTACAGAAACTTGCAGTCTTGGTTATGGGTCTGTTGAGTACCACAGCAAATCTGAGTGTGGTGGGGAAGAGCAATCCTTGCATCAGTCTCCACACTGCATGGCCTACTTTCTGCTCCCGGCAGTCTCTACTGGCTAGCAATGAAGCTCCAGAAGTGCAGCTCTTCTTCCCACATCCCCACTGCAGAGGCCAGCCCCAGTGGTGGCACCAGCACTGCAATGTTGTGGTTACACATGCAGCAGCAATGCTGCTTGAACCGGCTCGTCTCCACCCTGCTCCACTCCCAGCTGCTTTTTCCATTTCCCGCCAGGCGCCCTCCCTACTGCCAGCATAAGTGTTTGTGCAGTTATGTGCAGAACCAGGTCAGGGATCTCATCCCAGCAAAAAAAATGGCCTGCAAATTAATTTTTTTTCCATCTGGGAGAAGTTCTTGTGTCTGGTTTCTTGGGTGGCTGCACACAGAATTTGTCTGGCATAAGGGAGAGGAGAGGATGGGGCTGGAAATAAGCAGCTTTGCCATGAGGTGTTCCTCCCAGGTGAATGTGGATGACCCACAGAGCCCCTTCTCCACTCTCAGCTGGCATGGGCTGATCTTGCGAGGAAAATCACACACTTGTTCTTTGTCATGGCCCAGATGCTCCCCACTCTCCTTTAGAGGAACACTCCTCTTTCCCCATCCATTTCTAGTATGCATTACCAGAAAGACTCTCCAATCAATCAACATCCATTAGAAAAGCCAGGTTTTTAAGATCTCCCACTTGCCTTGTGTTATAGAAATGATTGGAAGAGAGTTTGTGGATTGTTGAGTCTCATACTGGTGAGTGGCTGCCACTCATGTCACACAATCCCTTGTAGAAGCTGGGCTGCATTTTCTATGCCTTAGTCTTTGGACCATTACAATGGTGCATTCTTACATTATAATTACTATATTTACTAGAAAATTATTTTTTCTAATATAAAATCTATATCACTATAATTTACTAGAAAAAAATAGTTTGAAAAATGCAGTTCTCTGTAACTGCATTTAGTAACAAGAAAATCTTAGCTATAACTATGTTCATTGAGGCACTCCTTTGTTGGGCAGCTGCTACAATCAAAGTTAAAATAAACCCACTCCCCTCTCCTCTCGTGTTTTTTTTTTGGCTCCAAGCTTTGCTGTTAGACAAATAAATAATTTCCATGAGAAATTTTATTATTTGAAGTTTTCTCAGTCTATTATGTTTGCCTTCAGACACTTCAAGGGAGGCTGATATGATGGTTACTTCTAATATGCTTTGCAGAAAGACTGTTTCATGTGATACTAGGAGAAGGCACTGGGAACCTGGTTTGATTGAAGGGTCTGCAAGGACACAAAGGTTGTTTTAAGTTTGACTTATTTCTGTAGATATTCTGAGGACACAGTGAAAGATTATTTCTCTTTGCAATACCTCTCTGGTAAGTGTGTTTAAAAAAAAAAAAAAGCCCTTAGCGTAGCATTTAGATGTATTAAGAAAAAAAAATTTAAAAAGTCAGATTGTTGTGTCCTGTTTGAAATTCGTCCAATTGTGATATTTGTTTATCTACTAAATAAAATGACAGATACTTCATTCCCGTCTAACCACTAGAAGATATTTTGGGCTTGTTTTGATGCTTATGGTACATATAGGAAATCAAAAAACTTTGGCCAGATTGCATGGGTTGTTTGGTGGAAGCCTGTTCACAAAGAACCTGTACAACACGAAATCCTTTTAACTCCCAGGAGTGCCTCAACAAACACAGTGGACACTCACCTAGTGTATATTAACTATTAATAAACAATATTTATTTATAAACTGATTAACCATAGCATCTTTTTATAGACTAAAATAAAAAAGTAAACTAAACCAGGTCATTATTTATATTAATATCTGTGCAATAGTATACTTAAAGGGAGCTTTTAGTTAACGTACAGATTCCCACAAGGAGAGTTTGTCAAAAGCAGGAGCAAATGGCTGCATTTTGGGTTAAATGCTCCTTATATATTAAACAGAAAAAAAAAAAAAAAGCCAACAGATGTTGAGGAGGAGCCTTTTTCCCCCTCACCTCCATTTCCCTGTAGGATTCAAGCAATCACTTCAGTGATAACAAGACACAGGGATCTTAATTTTCACTCAAAAGTAGGCACTGTGAGGGTAGCTTTTGATTGTAGAATCAGCCTCATGGTTCCTGATGGGCTTTCAGCCTTAGGCCAAACCCTGAGGATGAAAGGAGCTGTGTCCTAGCATTGCTTTCCTGCATGACATTGACCTGGTCCCTAGCTCACTGCTTCAGCTCATACATCTATAAGTTAACAACAACAAAAAAAGCCGTTTGAAAGGAATGCAGAGAGGCTGAATTCATCAGTGCTTTGAAATGAACATGCAGTACTAAGCACTGGTATTTTCATTGCAAAATGAGGCCTTTTGCTGGGAAGCATCAATGCAACAGGATCGTACACTGACAGACTTGTCAGCACTTCTAGTCAGGCTGGAGTACTAGAACATACATTTGGCTAAACTGTTTAACAGAGTGTATTACTTACCATAAATTTTCGATGCTGCTGGAACTACAGAAATTGTCCTTCAAAAGCCAGACAAGCCTACCTGACCCTCAGATAGTACAGAGTAGCAGAGTTTCTCTAAAATCTAGATAATTACAGTGATTTTTATGCCTGAGGAGTCCACCTAATAATAACAACGTATTTTTCTGCACCATGACTTGATTCTGGCTGCGTACACTTCCATTCCAGTGTCATTTGTAGTTGCTTTTAACTTAAGCAGAAAGCAAGATTTACTTTCAGCTAAGACCAGATGTATCAAATTCAACCAAAAAAAAGCGTTGCCAAGGGGAAAGGAAGGGCATTTTGGCGGGGAAGAAAAAGGAGAAGAAAGGACTATAAGGAGAGAAAAGTGCAGTTTTTAAAGGCGATATAATATCATTGCAGCAGCAGCAGCTAGCAGTCACGTCTTTCTGGACTTAACCTCTTCAACCATCAGTTTTTCATCCATACACTCAGCTATGTGCTGGTGAGGGAGGGAGAGATCAGGTTTGCTGCTGCTGCTGCTGCACAGCCCATGCCAGGAACCTCTTGGTACACTGGCTGCATCACCTCGTCCCAGCCCGAGTGAGCTCATGAGGCTCAGCTGGCCTCGGAGAGGTAGCACAGACACGTAATGAACACAACTGTCACGGAAAGTCTAAGAGGGACTCTTGTTCCACGGACTGCCCGGACAATGAAGAATCGGCGTGCCACCCCCTCTCTCGCCCCCCAGCCGATGCCAAGGCGGGCGGGCGGCCGCAGCCAGATGAATAGCAGGTCTGTTCCAGCAGCTGCGCGTCCCGGTCCAGCGAAGGGAGTCTCCAGGAGCACGGAGTGCCCCGCTCCGCGCGCTGGCTGCAGGGGAAGAAACCTGGGGTGAAAGGATGGCCTCAGAAGGGGAAAGCAGCAATCTTCGAGTGAGTCCATCTTGGGGAGGGAGGGAGAAGTGGGAGGGAAGGTCCCTGGTTTGGGGGGAATATCCACCGCCTCTACCATTTGCTCCTCAGGTTTGGCAGCCAATTTCACTTGAAAACTCAGCACCGCCTTTTCCCTCTGTTCTTTGATGAAAAGCTAGCAGCAAGATCTCTGCCTTGTTCTGCCTGGAGCTGCTATGAGACTTTTTCCAAAAGGGTGAGGGTAAGAAGAGGGGTATTACTAAAAAGAGCCGCTTTTTATGGGAAGGTGGAGCAGCAGAGGCAGAAGTTAGCCTTCAGCTCTCAGAAGGAGGCAGCACATACTTTACAAGCTCCAAAAATCTGAGCTGTTCCCCACCTCATAAAGCCTTTCTCTGTTTGGCAGAAAGTGCTCCCAGTTTGGAGAGGAGGAAAAGAAATAAATACAGCAAATGCTGAGGGAGAGTAGAGGCCAGGCTTTCCTATGTAGGGTTTATAGAGAAACAAAAGTTCCTGGTGAAGCTCTTTCGGTTCTCTGTGTTCCTCTTCTAGTGTTTGTGTTTTTTAAGAAGGGTGTTTCTTGTGCTTAGCGTGTGTTCTAAGAAAGGTCAACTACCCAAGGGTTTGGAAAAAGAAACTATTAGAGATGAAATGGAATCAAAAGCCTAGATCACAAACACATGTCAAACTTCAGAAGTCTGAGTCCACATCTATGCTTCAGACAATTCTGGAGAAAGGAAAAATTGCCCAGGGCATAGCTTCCAGTCCTGACTAGGCTGGCAGCAGGATCCAAATTTTACAACTGATTTTTCTGCCTGTAATGGTCCTAACCATCCTTAGAATTGAAAGTGGGGAAGTCTATCTGGGGTCTCATTTTTCATTTCTTAGGCTCATATCAAAGGAAATAAAATGGAAAAAAACTGTCCCTTGGAAATAATCATGACAATTATCTTTAACTAGAAAGAATGACCCAGACTCCCTTATCCTGCAGAATGTATCTCCAAGATACAAGCTGCACAGCAGTTTCTGAAAACCTGAGAACAGTTGTGCTCAGATAAGAGACTTGATGACTGAGGAAGATACACAAGTAGCTGTGACAGCTGGTGAAAATGTACTCTTTATAACTGAGGGAGAGAGAGGTTAAGCTTTTTTAGAACTAGATAATAAGGGGAAAATATAGAAATTAGTAAGTTGGGAACTGGGGGTGAAGGACAAAGAGGACAAGAAAATTAAGCTAAATAAAAAGTCAAATTAAGCCCTATATTAAATCACTCCACCCAGCTGAAAGTTTCAGGTCTACCATGGATTTGAAGCCAAGGTTTCATAGATTAAAAGAATCAGCTTCACCAATTAAAATGCTCATAAACTTCTGAAAAATCTGGGGTTTAGTTTTCTCTATTTCAACACAACTTGAGGTTAAGTAAGGACCCAAAAGTGATCCTCAACATCTTCAACCTTTACAATAGCCCAATAAAGAAGACCAGAAGGTCAAAGATTCCTTGAGTTACAAAACTGAAAAGAGCATACCTGTCTGTTTCTAGAGCAGGAAGGTGTGGTGTGTTTCTGTCCACCTCTACAGAGGCTGCCACAAGAAACATCATGCTACTGAGAATTTTTTTGTGACACCTTACAGGGGTTTCATGAAGCCACCAGACAGTACAAAATACGGGTGAATGTGCACAGATACCTGCATGCTTACAACCAGGAAATATATGGTGCTAGCTGGGAAGAGAAAGAGCATTATATATGACCACATAAGTGTGACAGATGCACTCAACCCCCTAAGCAAACTAGCAGCAGTTTGGTTCAGAATCCAAAGGAGGTAAAAGCCTGAACCTTAAAGGGACCAAAACCAGTTCTAGTTTCAAACCATTCTTTAAAAACCTACAAAAGAGCAGAGTGACACAGTGAGCATCGATGCATACAAGCTTGGAACATTGATCATACAGTTAACAGAAGAATAGTGGGTGGCTTTTCCAAGACTCATTTATCAAGGAACAAAGTAAGTTGTGGGTACAAGGAGTCTCATGCTTACCTTTCTCATCACATGTAATTTAACTATGAGCCAATCACTTTGTTCCATAAATAAGACAGCCTAAGTGAGCTGGATACATGGCAGTGTTCTCCCCTTGAGCTTGGGATGCCTTTAAAGGTTGCTCCTCAAAGCAGAGAGACCTTTTACCATCAGCAGACCTTGGGTAAGAGACCTGTATCACACATAACCTTGTAGTATGGTAACCAATTTGTGCCTTGGTAACTTTGATTTTTGCCTTCATAACTTTGATTTGTGACTTAGTAACTGATATGTGCTTTGGTAACTGATTTATGCCTTGGTAACTTTGCTCTTGTCTTTGTCACTTTGATTTGTACCTTGGTAGTTTTGAATCACTGTTCAAATGATTGTGCTGTACAGTAATAGAGTGAACCTTGCTATCAAACTTTGTTACGTTGCACTTTGACATCATATCAAAACCACTTTCACTAATAGCTTTGATGATGATTCCTTAAGTGATCTAAAAGTTCATAACAAATTAGCATAGTTGCCAGAATCCAAATAAGAACCATGACACGTAGCTGAGACAAGAAGACGGTCCTGGCAATGATGTGAGGTAAGAGGAGGAGTGATCAGTGGTAAGGGAAAAAGAAAAAAAGTTCTTCCATTGAAAGTAGATTTAAAAGCCTCTCTTGAGTCACTGCTCTGAGCAGAGCAGGTATCTTCTTGGAAGTTTCCAGCTGTGGGTTTATGAATATTTTGTGGGGGCAAGCACTGCATGCTCTGGGGTGGTAATGCATGACTCACTCCTCAGAGAGCTCCTGGATGGAGTAGCAGGAACAGTCGTGAAAGTTAACTAGGATACAGTGCAGAAATCAGGTTTTTATTTTTTTTTTAGGGCAAGGGTCCTATGTCTGTTGCACAGTACCTGCTGGCATTTCTTGCACAACATTTACAGGGCCAGGCCAAGCAGGTAGCAATAGAATGAAAACAATGTGAGCCTCTGACCTAACATAGGAGAGAGCTAGAAGAGGCAATAAAGACTTAAGAAGCCCCTAAGGAGAACTAACCTGTCCATAGTTTTTTTGCTTCTCTTAAAGCATGAGAACAGGAGCTCATTCAGCAAAATTGAAAGTCCCCCCAACAGGAGACACTCCCTCACCCAGCCTGTCATCAGCCTGTGGAATTTGCCATCTCCTGAAGCAGGTTAGAAGGTCAAATATTAGAGCTAGCATTGAGAAGAGGTCGAGATGTCCAGTAACAATATTTACAGTTATGCAAGCTAAAAAAGGTACTTTAAAATCCCATAAGCCAACAGCAGGATAAAAATAAATACACTTTTCAGTTCCCTATAGGCAATGGCACAATTGCTGACCAGACTGCAACTGGTATCTTGCATTAGAGAAGTTAGACACCAACTGTCCATAAGTGAGAACTAGGACTGCTTTTTAACAGCAAAAAGTGTCTCACATGAATCCACTTTCTCCCTCACAAAAATCCTGTTATTTCAGAGGAGTATGTTTTCCAGTTCTGACTTCTAGGAAGATCAACAAAACCTCAGACTGTGCACTGAGAGAAGCTAAAAGGAAATGGTACTAAATGGAAAAAAAAAGCCACAAGACTGTAGAGCAGCCTCACCAGATCCAAGCCAGCCAGACAAGTGCTAGGACAAAAGATGAAATTTGAATTAAAATATTTTAATTAAAAAGATTAAATTATTTATTTAAAGATAAAACTTTAACATGAATTAACTTGAATGATGCATTTTTCTTCCCAGACATCTCTATTTGTGGCTTCCAAGTGAAACTTTCACCTTCCCCTGTTAAGGATTTGCCACTGATGAGAAACCAGGCAGGCAGACCTGATGAGATATAACAGTGTACATACTGTGATTGCTGGGATCAGAAAAATGTGTTTGGGACAGAAACAAAGAAAACCACCCAACAAGATCCCATCACCAATTTCTTTCTACTTCAGGAAACTGTTTGCAAGTTAGAATAGAAGTATAGCTTTGATAGTCACACTCCAGATGATTTTTCAGCACTTCCTTATCCTATTATTCCCCCTGACTCTTGCCTCCAACCTCTCCACAGAGATTTGGGGCAGGGGGGAGAGGAGGAGGCAGCCATACAAAACTATTCTTTTCAGCAGCAAAGGATCCATTAAAGTTGCTTAGCTGTGTACCTCAGCTGCTGAGTTCATGATCTGGCATCTTAACACATCCCTGTTTCATCCGTGGTTTAAGCTGAAGTACCAGACTTTGAACGGGAGTGACGGAGACAACATCCGTTCCACCACTCCCACCACAGTGGCAGGAACCAGGGGAAGGTCTGTGGACAGTGGAAATCAGTAACACTCACACATTATTGCCACAGAAAGGTCTGTCAGAGCCACAAGTGAATATTGCAGAACAGAGTAAACATTTGGGCTGATTCTAAACATCTCTAGAGTTTAAGTTTGTATTTTTATATTTTCTTATTCATGAATGGGTGTCATGTTCTGTATAAATGGGTGTTTAAGGGATGTGCACCAGATGAATGTCATATTTTAAAGGAGGCTATATATTTTATGTTGTGTCTTTTTATAGTTTCTTACTCTTTTGATTAAAAAAAAGAAAAAAAAAAAGACAAGTAAAATCCTCTGGGATGAGAAGCAGAAATAATACCTCACCAGGTAGGGAATCATTCATACAACAAAAGTTAAAAAAGTATACAGATAAAATAGTGATTCTGGAAAACAGACCCTACACTGAAATTTTTTGGCAAAAGTGGCTTGCCAAGGGCTTTGAATGCAAAATACATCTGCAGAAATACAGACAGTTTTACAAGTAACTTGCAAGGAAAGAAGACTAAATAATTGGATAGTCTACTTCCAGTGCTCAGGTTTTGACCAGATCTAAAGCAGGAATATTTTAGACGGGCAGATAAATAGAGTTAACTATAGGTGTGACAGTGTGGACTTCTCCAAAATGCCCACAGAACAAATGGAAAGTCCCACTTGCCACTGTAAATCACCTCTCCCACATCCCACT